GGTGACAGCACATGGAATATAAACAACAAAGAAACTTGACATGAGGTTATATATTTTGCTTACTCAAGAAACAAAATTTAAATCCAGTCATTCTCCTTCCCACCTGACCTACTTTCCTTTCTCCTGTACTAGAACCAGATTATTACCCACCCAGCCTTATCATGGGTCCTGACTCCTCTTACCTCCCGCCCAAACACCACATGAGATCATTCCTCACCCTGGATGCGGGACCAGCAATTTCAATAGGTTTTTAGTGGAAAAGAATTGGTTGTGCGCAGATGCCAACTAAACACTGTAGAATCCTGGTGTCCCACATTAGCAATCATGACAGCTGTTTGCAAGTGTCCCCAAAGTTCATTTCAGACTCTCACTGCTAACTTTCCTGGGACATAAATATAAAACATGTGGACTGCTGGGCTGGACTGCTATGCTGGGTCTCTGATCCAGGAAGCTCATTGTCTGCTCCCTGCACCCAGCTCCCTGTTCTTTTCGTGCATGTGCATCAAGCAGCTGTTTAGTGTCCATTTTAATATCTTAAACAGTGCATTTCAGTATTGTCTCCATCCACAAATACGTGTACCACACAGTAGTAATGATGAATCTCATTCTTTGCTTTCTTTGGTCTTAGAGAGTCAGATAAATGGATAGCAAAGGTAACAAAGTCATAGAGCACTATAATATACTATTTCCTTTATTTCAATGACAGGATTTATTTAAAGAGCTTAGATATAACATCCTTGCATTTATGGCATCACTAAGTGTCTGAAGCTGTTACATTATAAGCACTTCATTTCAAGTGAGATGTTGTCAGTTAGAGAAGCACTGCTGAATTTGAGGGGTTGCTGTCATCTCAAACGGAGTCCCTAAAAAATGTGAACTCTCTGCAGTATTGCCATCATGACAAGAACCCAGACGCATGAAATTTGGAAAGTCCTGTGGCTTTCTAGTGCACAGACAGAAAATGGTATTTCAGAGGGAAAAGCCTGAATTACAGAAAATGATAAATGAAATGGTCTAACATGCATTTCCCTTACAAAGAACTAATACTTCTTTGGTCGATAATAACATCTGTCAGTAATTATGAAAAGAGCTGACAGATGCATAGTACTTAATATTAGGC